TTAATGAGAAAAATCCAGGTTGATGCTCAGTCGAACAAAATATTTTTCTATTTTGTTCAGTTTTCATAACGAAAGAAGAAATATCAATACTGTTAACTTGGTTTAGGCAAAGAACATAGTTATTTTAAATAAAATATGTAGAAGATTATAAAAAAAAAGCAACAACGCAGAGTACTACAAAAAAGCATAGAATAACTACATAAAATTGGTTGTCATGGAAAAGAGAAGTAGAGAACGCATAACTCTATTTTGTTAAGATATTTCAGATAATTCTTGCTCACGTCAGTTCCTGATTTGGCAGCTCTTTCTTTATATTTTCGCAAAATATTTGTAATGTCGAAATACATCTTGGGGTATTTGACATTTTGATTAATTGCTTTACGCCATTGATATTTATCCTGAGCTTCTCGTTATAATTCAAGTCAGAAAAGTGAATAGTCTACTTTATGTTTCTACGAATAGTTGTAAACCAAAGATCGAATTGACACTAGTTGAAGTTTTGTTATTGTGTTTTTCAACCTGCTGTTTTTCGATTAAAAAATTCTTATCTGACCTTCAAGACCAATGTCAGGTGATATCTATATGCATGCATACATACACAGCTGTGAAAGTTAATTATTAATTTCTATGTGATGACATTTAATAGTCATAATATTTCTTTTGTATTTGTTTTGATTACATCTATGGATGCTTAGAATATTGTTCGATTTAATGAATAAGAGGTATCAAAGTAATTAATAGTAGGTCTATTGGAATGAAGAATTTCGACAATAATTGAATATTTACCAGATCCAGATGATGAATTCTTTTCTCAATGATGAACTTGTTAGATTTTTAGTGTGCCGAATGTTTTTGATTTCTTCTTTTTATACGTTATATGAAATGGAAATTATATTTTTGTTTGCTACATTATCTTTATTTTTTGTGTATTTAACCAAAATTTTATGGTAAATATAGAACGGTATTGATAGGAAATAATCGTGCTGGCATATTAACATGCTACATGTAAATCACAAAGATGATCAATCAAGAAAATAAGAAGGTGAAAAGAACGATAGCAAAAATGTTTGATTCTAGTATAAAGCAAACAAATTGAACAATTGATGGAATAGAAAAAAACTTTTTCAATGATTGAAAATTATTTTCAACTTAAAATCTGCTAACTGATATTATGAAAATTCAACGTATCAGTTTGATATGAATAATAATAAAACTAAACAATTAATATAATTTCTATAGGATATATGAAATAGAATTATATTTATTCGTGATGTTCATTGCGATCTTTTTTTTTGCACAGATAAATATGAGAGAAAAGGCATCTGAACTACTTCATATAGAAAATACTAATATGAAAGTATTTTCTGTTCTCTGCTTCGATAAACAGATCAACATAACCGACAAAAAATAACTTCGTTCAATGAACAATTATCTCATGAATACTGATAATCAATATTAATATGAACAAAATTTTTTATTTTGTTTGTATTGTTGCTGGGTGTGCAGGTTACAAAATAGTACCATACATTTATATCTATATTATGAAAAAAAGCAGAGTAAACAATAAACGTCACAGTTTAAAAAGTCTAGAACATTTAAAATTGTGTCACATACGTAGGAAATCAGAGATATTAAAGACAAAATCTTCGAGGGTAGATGTGAACGTTGCTGTACATGCTAGCCTAGATAGAGTATGGATATGGCTGGATGAACGTCTGCGTGTCTGTATGCTTTTTCTCTTTGACCATTCAATCAATCATACCATAATCTCAGATTCATACTCACACTTACATCCGCAAGCACAGCAATATCCATAATGATCTCCACAGACATTCCACACCCTACACTCACACAGTATACAACTAAACGAACATTTAGCTAAAAATGAAAATCATGTTTGTTCAAAATTTAAATATCGGACAATATACTTCGAAATATGGTTTATCTAATGGTTTAAATAATTTTGTTACGACCATAAAAGAAACTGAAAAATTATTTGCTCAAAAATTAGCCTGAAAATCGTAATGTCACCGGAAAAAAATTGATATCTGACAAAGTTAAACTGTTCAACATATAAACCAAGTACATTTTCTGAATCTCAAAGCTAAGCTCGATACAGAGATTAAAAATGCTTTTTATTTTGCATGTTGAACTTTGGAGAAAAGAATAACATTTTTTTTAGTATCATCCGAACGGATAGTCCGCTAGGATGAGCAATCCACTTACATCCAACCTCGAAACTTTTCCAAATTTTGCCAATATTCTTCTATCTATTGACTCTAATCCATCTAAGTGCACACATTTCTTCACTGCATAATGAGTTTCCAAAAAATTTAGTTTTTCCAGCAATGAAAAATGTTTAATCGACAAAAAGAGTATATTCATTGAAAAACTTTCTCTATCAAAAAATATTTTGGGTATCGGTGAAAGTGTGACTCTCCAAATACACTTCACAAACACCGATATCCCACACCCTAACTTTGTGCGAACTTTTAGCGCGTAGAACTTCGGAACAATAATTCTAAAATTTGTGCAGAAGTGAAACGACCGAAGTTTGCGCATTTTTGTTAATTACAATAAACTCTGAGGTCAAATAAGATACGACTATCAACCATAGTTTTGAATCAACGCCAAGGATCACCGATCTTTCCAAAGGATTGGAAAAGTAGATTGTGTCAGCGTGACTACACTTGTCAAGATAAATACTAAATTAGCGTGAGACAAAAGTTATGCTGAACTTAAATATTTCAGAAGTGAAATGTATCAAACACAAACATATATGAAATCTAGAAATTTGTTTGCCTCTTTTATGGTCATTGAATACGTTTGTTTTCTTTTTCGAATTATTGTAAAAGATAGGAATATACTGTTGTCGATTTTATCATGAAAATAAAAAGGAATATATTTTATGAATAGAATTAATCGTTTCATGTGTTTTTAAAAATTATAATAGTCCATCTCAATCTTGTTTCTTGAACCTTCAAATATTTAGAACCAAAATGAGTGTAAGAGGGCTGATAATTGCGTGCATCACCAATTTCAACAGTCCAACTTTTTCCGTGAGTTTCATCAAGCCAATTTTTAATGTCTTTAGCTATTTTCTGTATTTCTGAGGTTCCATGCGTATCGATCGATGTACTGATTATGTTCAATAGATTTACTCTCATTGAATCCGTGATTCCACTGGCTTGTTCTTCGATTTCCCATCTCGTCAGCTTGATCGATTTTGGATTAAATTTATCTAGAATAATAATTAATTAACTTTGTTCACATCAATAACTCGAAAAAAAGAAATCAACAGACAATATTATTTATATGAGATTAAAAATAAAATTTTCCATGTCATATTAATTCGTAATGTACTGTTTATCTAACTTCCCTTTGAAATAATGACGAACTTTTGTTTTCTATCATTGAGGCGGTTAAAAGTCGTTGTAAACCCGACTTTAAGCTCGTCTAATATAGAATGCATTTTTCTAAAAGGCTACCGATTGTGTTTTGTGGCACATGATTGAAAACATCTTGACAAGCTTTTAAACAAACAGCTGCAAAGAATTTTGGATATGTTGTCGTGTATGAGAAGGCACATCTTTTCTTGTAAAATATATCTGGATTGACGATTTTCAGTGAGTCAATCCTAACTCGGCATCCATATGATCAGTTCGGACAGGATTTCCGTTATTCGATGGAGTATCTGAAACTACTTTCTCTAGGAACACTATCGTAATCCATCGTCTTAATTCTTCTTTCTGGCACGTGCTCGACAAACTAGTTAACTGGACATGAAACTGTCCTCTCCGATGATCAATATTTTTACGCCACGCTCTGCCCGTTTTCTCGACCTGAATACTCTGGCTGTATTTATGATTCAAAGCAGTGATTTTCTTTTGATGCAGTTAGCTAGAAAAGATTCCACTCGATAAATTGTGGCTTATCAGTTACCACAATGATTCCATTAAGTATTTACTCTTTATTGTACAAATCTGCATCCATATCGATGGAGAAAATGAAGACTCCAGTATATCCCATATTATCTCTGTTTTCTGGATCTCGACTATATTCTCAATACATCCCAAGTAGTCAGTTAGTGAATGTAGATGCATAATGATAAAAACCATTGATATTGTAACTGTTAGATTTTCATCATTTATTAGTCAAGGATCAATTAAAACTTCTAAATAATAATTTAATAAACGATGAATAATGATTGAAAAGCGATGGCCTTATATTCTGTTAATGACCCATACATCATGCATTTTTTTCGTTGTCTATTATTCATGTATCACATTCGCATCTCGGTTGTAAAGGCGCGATTATGATTTTCTTCATCGAACTATGCTTTATATAGTCATTGTGCTCTTTTTATCATATGCTCATCGGCAATCCTGCAAATGACAATCTAAATACTCGTCGAAGTCAAATAAATTATTAGCTTTTGGGCGAAGAAAATTGATTAAAGAATCAGATGGCTCGACAGAGAACCAAGAAAATATCTAATTCGTTGAAAAAAATGGATGAAAAAATCTGATTGAATGAAAGAGAACAAGAAAATAATCCAATTATCACAAATATATTTACGACACAGTGAGCATTCAGGGGACACAGATGATACGGAGTATATCAGGATCTCTATGTTTCTTATTTGGATGAATACAGATTTCTCTTGTAAAGACTGAGAATCTCAATGTAAGCCGTGTAGTATGGCGAGCATGATGTGAGTTCAAGAGTCTCCACTTAAGTCACATCAATGAGAAAATCATACTAATCATCTTATCGGTTTTTCATTGTGAGTTCTGGTAAATTGAATTCAGAGGAGACAGTTAAAGCATTCTTATATGCATAATTTCTTATGACAAGTGTATTAAAGTTTCTTTTAGCTTAAATTTCACATGGTTTATTTTACACGACAAATATTCAACTAACAGTTAAAAGAATAGTTTTCAATTCTCTGCTCTGAAGACTCTATAGTTAGACCAAAAGAATTATTCCTGAAAATTCTCCTAGGTTATTAGATAGATGACTTGGGCGACGGTTTTTATTAAAAAATGTAGACATGATTCATCATTGTAACTAACAAATGACTGGTTTGAAAAACCCGTATTTTGATTACCTGGAAAGTATTGGTTGCGTTTTTTATGCCCTTGTAGATGTTTATCATTGCTTGTTAATCTATCCGATGTTGATTCTATTGTTTGATGTAGAGGTGAGACAGACAAAAGATTTCGTGCGGTTGTTTCTGGCGGAATGAAAATGAGATTGTCATCAATTACCAATGGACTAATATGAAATTGAACATGTTGAAGATTGTTGACATCTTGCTCGAAACATCGAATAGATTTTGTCATCGAATCAATCTGTTCTTGTGTTGCTTCTTCTTCTCGAATTAATTCGTTTATATTACTTCGCATTCGATCAAGTTCTTTTCTTTGTTTGTCTTTTCTTTCTTGAGTAACTTGTTCAAATTGTCGATATTTTGTCTTATAGAATTGATCCACTGTTCTATGAGCATCTTCACGCCATTGTTGGAGCCTTGTCAGACCAGATGATTCTAGCAAAACACTATTGTTGAATTGGTCTGAGAGTGCATTGATTTGGTCAGCCAATGATGGCAATTGAGAATTAATTAAATCATAGTGTTCTTTCAAATGATCACGACACAAATACTGTTGACAACAAATACATAAAGTTCGAGACGGGCGCTTACACTCGTTAAAGACACATGGTCGTGATGCTGATGCCATTTTTTTGTTGTTCGTAGCGAAACGTGCGTTATGATGCGAAGATAAAAATTATGTTGTATATTGACTCATCTGATCTACAACATAACTGTGAATATTTTAGTCTTTTCCAGCCTTCTCATGTTACCGATTATCGATACAGATAAGAAACGCAAGAAAAAGAAAAATAGTTGGTGAAAAATGTGGACGATGATGCATTGTAATAGTATGGTTATTTCACTAATGCGAAGCCAACAGGGTATATATTTTTTAAGCGCATGAGTTGAAACTAGTTAGCATTCCTATGCATGCATGTAAAACTTGAAAGTTCGAACGATTTTTACACTCCTTTGAATTTTAAACCACTCGAGTATTCGAATTATAAATTCTTAAAATTCGAAGAAGAAGTTTAAAACTCGTAACAACTCTTCGAGTTTTACGTGTGTGTAAAAAATGAAACCGATTACACAATGTTTGACTCCTTTTCAGGTTATTCTTGAACATAAGAGTAAAGAAATTTTGTTTTTTTATGACTCGACCAGAATAAACAACTTTGTCAGTATTTCCTTGAAATCTCCATCAACTTTTATCAGTAATACTTGATATTTTTTTCAGTAAAACATTCACCATCAAATTCTGAAAAGAAATTTGCAATGCAGTTAGTATATAATCGTTCTACCGTCTTAGAAACAAAATATAATCGACCAATAGCATTGCTCACAACTGTCTAAATCTTATAGTTTTTCGACTTTTACAATAGTTTGCTTCAGAAAGTGTTATTTAATCTCAACTCATTTTGTCTCATTTTTGGTTACCTGAATGTTCCTAATGATTATTAAGACCCAAACTGTAACTAATAGTATGAGTGCCAACCATGTTATTCAGAAAACCAACGTGATTTAGGAATGCATAATGCGTTCGGGTAAAATATTGGAGAAGGCGAAAATTTCACATTATATATTTCGCTTTTTATTCTGCAGGTAAGCATCATTGAAAAAAAAAGACTTGTTCATTTCTCGTTTGTTTTCTAATTCTTTTGTGTTTCCCGAGGTAGAATGAATTGTGCTCTACAGAGTGTAAGCGAAGAGGTTCTGGTGATGAAGGAGTAAGAAATCGAATGGAAAGCGAGACGCCATGAAACAGCTTTGAATAGACAAGGATAAGAATGATGATGTGGGTTAAGTAGAACTACCATGACCAGTTTTGAACTTATTGAAGGGTCTCATAAGATAACTTGAACTCGGTTTCATCTCTTTCGAGGACTCTTGTTCGTTTAATCTTGGAATAGCGCTATGTCAAAGTAAGACATACAAGAGTCCTCGTTGTATAGGAAACGGAAATCAAATCATTTAATGAGATATGTTGAGTAACGTCGAAACTGCTCATGACATCTTGAATTTACCCACACCTAAATCCTCACTCAGATAAATTTAAGTCAATGCACAATATAAACACAGTATGTTCTTGATAGAGTTGAAAAATGACTATTCTAGATATTTATTCTTCACAGCAATCAGAATGGGGAGATGGAAAGTTGAAACACAAGCTTCAGGAATCACAGATACGATGAGAATTAATATATTAAGCACAATCAACACTTCAATTGACACGCACCGATCATCAAATATGTTTGAAATCGCTGAAGATGTTAAAGCCTGGCTCGAGTCCACTTATGGAAAAAAATGGGCGGTTATCATTTTTAAAATTGGACAAAGTCAATCTTCTTTCACTTATTATGACAATAAGTTTTTGAGGGTTAAAGAAACCAACTTGGATTGGTATATAACTCTTTTTCAACAAGTTCCATAACAAGAAACGGCAAAATCAATTCAATGAATTGCACTACAGAAATTCTTAAGTAGAAGACAAACGATAAGCAACTATTCTTTATTGAAATAAATCGAGATTTATCAAAAATCGTCTTGAAACCCGAAGAGCCACAAACAGAGATTGTTTGTCGAGATTTCTTCGAACAATTGCATCAGTTATCTTGAAACAGGATGAGTGCGTGAGTGAAGGTGTGAGCATATGGGTGTGTGTTGCTGTGACTGTGGATGTCGGTGTGTGGATGTGAGTATGGGTACAGGTGTTAGCATGGATGTGGATGTGACTTCATAGATACCTTACAAAACACTGACACCTGTGTCACACCCATCCACCCAGACTTACGTCCGACCAACACCTGCCCACACCCTATCTATCATCTTTTTAATATAATATCAATTTATAGAACAAAATTGAGTCGTTTTTCCACAAATAACTAACGGGTGGCCCATAAAGAATGGCGGTGTCAGTATTTCGTGAATATCTCCCTCAATTTTCATTGCCCAGGCTTCAACCTTTATCTAAAAGACGCGCCATTCAATTCTCTACAAAATTATATGAAAAGAAACTCTTCCGATGAATAGCTGAGAAATCATATCTGGTCAACACTGCAATGCTCCAAAGAAGCCCACTTTCAAATCACTGTTTTTCGTTTTTACAATGTTGCGTCGCTCTTTGACCAGATTTTNCGATAATGTTAACGACAAGGACATAAACTTGAAGAGAATATAATAGTTTCTCTCTCCATTAAGAAACTTTCAACTTCATTTGAAGCGTTGAAAAAAAATAATGTCACACTTTCTGGGATTGATTGATAAAGTAATTATGAGAGAAAGCATTTACAATTAAACAATTTCAGATCAGGCATATAGAGTATACGATACATCATGTCACATAGTCAACTACAATTAATAGATAAAGTGCTTGAGAAGTTTAAACCGATGTCTAGCCTTATTTTTAAGTTTCTTCAAATTGTGTACATTGAAAGAGAAAGCTGTCTAATACAAATAATGCATATAACTACAAATAATGATAAATTCAGTCACAGGTTTCTTTTCGTTTCTATTTGTTTCTTTATTTTTAAGTTCCATTGAGTTATTAATGCTATTTCATTGATCCATTGACCAGTGACTCAATCTTTCCATTATTATTCTCTTTATAGTGACTGAGCAATTGAACTTGCTCTCGATCATTTCATTTTCATCTCCGAAGAATAATCAATATTATTTAAAAAGTGTGTCTTCTCGGATTTGTCCAACGTAACGAGAATGAATAGATGTTTGTAACAGTAATTTTACAACTTGTAATTCATGTCATTCAAACTTGATGTGTTGAACAGAACTAATCATCGAAGTAATTTTTATCGGGTTTTGCATTTCCTTAACTTTATACTTTTTATTGTTCTTAAATAAATTCACTCAACTACTTTGTGAAATATATTTTTTGTTAGCGACAAATAATTCACTCACAAGTATATTACCAACGAAACAGTAAAAGATATGCAGACAAGAAAAAATGAACTGGAATATTAGAATTTGCCATTCGCTTGTTGTTTTTTCTGTCCGATATCATCTTTGAGATCTTCCAGATCAACTTCCATTTTGTCAACAATATTATTTTTTTGATTGTTGCTTTCGTCTTGGATGTCAGTATTTCCATCCTTTTTCAGCGCGTCATTAATCTTTTTTTTCCAATAACAATTTTTTCTTCTGCAGATCCTGTAGCTACAAGATACAAATCATTAAATGTATAACACGAATAAACAAAATCAAATCGATAAAAACTACCTCTACTTTCGCTTCTTCTTTAGTCAGTCGCTGGACTTGTGCTTTTCATAACATGATAACCGTTTGAGTATTATATCAAAACGTTCTATACGCAGAATAAATACGACTGAAAAAGCACAGATGTTAGTCACGTACTTGTCTTATCAAATATTAAATTATTCTTCTCTCTATGAAAAAATGCTATGATTACATCGCGCTTTCATTTTTTATCAAGAATACATACGATCCATTGACAATGATTGTCTTTCAAAAGTACGAAATTTGAATCCAAGATTCTTTGTGAGTCCACACAACCACGAAAACATAACTAACAATTTCTATTGAATTCATTTCAGAAAATTAGCTGATCATTTAAAATGTACTCAAAGTCATCCGATCAATAGAGACATGACAAGTAGAATACACGATAAGTATTCAATTTAAAGTCAATTGAACGATACTTGTTTAAAAACTATTTGATGACAAATAGCATTCTGAACAATTTATGCATTACTCATTAAAAAATATTTCTTTCGAAAATCAAGAAATAGTCAATTAAGACCATATATATTCAATCGAAAATATTCATAATGGCTATTGAACTGAAGAAGACGTGATAAATATATATGTGCAACAACAAGATATTGTTGTATATATAGAATAGATCCTAAAGAGATTTTTAAAATTCGTCAGATGAGATAATTCAACAATCAATGAAATTTGATTATGTTTTTTTTTTATTGATACGTACGATGATTAAGATAAAAAAGTGGTGAGTAATGGAAAACAACGAGTGATCTGAACGAAGAAATTGTTTTGAAATGCAATATCATACTTTTCTTTTGTCATGTGAAATAAGTGATAAAGTCTTCAAATTCGTTAAAATCTTCAATAATCAAGTCAAAAACAAAAGAATTTTTTCATGAAGCTAAATAAATCTTCTTACCATATTGTCGATAGACAATTCGGAAATGTACATATTGAAAAGTCACACGATGAATCAAAGCAAATAAGTGAGACGACCATCAAGTAGTCACAAACAATCATCAAACTTATTCACACGGATATGGAAATGAACAATATTTGATAAAAAATAAACTATGGAAGGTAAGTCGGATGCTCTCGATTGCAAGTAGTGCTGTCGACAACCACTTCAGCCAAACTTTAATTCAGTTAGACTTCTCAATATGGAAAAGATGTGAACAAAAATATTCGTGCTCGAATCAATCAATGATAACATCGCTTCGGTATCAATGATTGATATTGTTAGATTAAACATCTGTTTTCTGAAAATTTGAGCAAAAGGTAACTCGTCTAAACAATTTTCTTACCAGTAAAATGATGCAATGCAAATTCTTATTCACTCTTGGAAGTAGTAAGCTTTCGTAAAAGAAAATAGTCACTAGTGGAAACAATTCGTTCTATTCGAGATTAGTTCGAGAGTGAGATCTTGAACAAGTTTATGAACTTGAAGCAATATATATGAATAGAAGCGATTCAGTACCGGAACAGTCAATGAACAGTTGTTATGTGTAGCGTTTGAGCTTTTTAACTCCATAGGGTGAGTACAGGCAATGCTACGAGTCATTTTATTAAATCTTTGATTGACACTCAGAAATGAGTCCAGTACATCAATCTTACTCTGTTTATTCCAAATAATCAAAAGCATTTTGTTGGAGAAGGTTCATCATGCTAACATTGGAATGATATATGATAAGTTCGAAGAGACTATCATCAATGAATAGAATGATACATTGTTTATGCATCTTATTTCAATACAAAATGTTCACGACGATGAATGCACGCAAACGATGCATACATCCAATCAGAAGAAGTCTATATCTTGCCAAAATGGTCGTTCAACCCTCTATGATAGTGTACCAATCACTGAGAGTATTGACAGTAACATATTTCAATGAATTGTGAGTATTGTCATTCCTTTGTCGCACAAAATATGTCATTAGAAAAGTATTGAATATGAAGTAATTTGAGCCAATGAATATTCATCTCGATACACATGATCACATCGATGAGTCACGATTGAATTTATTGTTTCTTGTGCAATTTCAATTATCTAAGGTTACAATTTTTAGCCAGATCAGTATGTGGATTTCTTATTGAAAAGAAGATCTACGTCCACATCCATATTCAGTGTTCAAGACTTCGCAAAACTTCATAGAATTTGAGAACTACCTTGATAAAGTAAGAGTGGAAAAAGTTCTAGAGATGTTTCAAGACACATAAGGTGTGCTACTATTTGCTCCTAACAAGAAATGAGAGAAAACAAAAATTCTCTCATATAGAATGAAATGATCAAAGGACGGGTGCGCAACTCATCGAAAACACTTCATGTTGGAACACAATCATCTTCCGCTCCGACTCTACCTCAATTTTTAGGCGTAGTACACGTCTTCACGTGAATTCTCTCTGCAGACGAAGTGATGGAAAAACATGCGTACAGTACATCGAAAGGTTATGTACTGAAAATGCAAATATTAAAGATTGAATCAGTTTGAATCGAATTTTTTAACAACAAGGTTGGTTCTGTTCCAAAAAAATATCAACCGGTCCCATCTTTGATAAATATGAAAGACAAAGTTTTATTTTATTTTATTGTGATTCAAATAAATTAGTATCACATACCTTTAGTTGCAAAAAAAGGTATCTTACTAGTATAACAGAGTTACGATAGTTTTGCTGAATTTCAATCATACGACTGGGTATTGTCAGAAAAATTCAACAAGCGATTTTTTTTTTCCATAAATTTAATCTAAAATTAGATCTCAATGTCCTAAAAGTTTCCGTCAAAATGATTGCTTCATTTTTGAATATTGACATCTCAATAAGGAATCAGCCATTACTTACTTATAGACAATATTTCAGGTCAAATAGTCTTCGTTGGATTTTCCTGCTAATACACTTAGTCATATAGTACAATAGAAAATGACTTCTTTTCAATTAATCTGACAGTTTTCCAAACATACTTCAAATCAAATATATATAAAAATCTGCATATCGTTTCTGCTAACTCGATGACGAATTTTAAACTCAAGCAGGATAAATCCAAATTTTCTTTTCATTAGTTAAAAAATTTTATTTAGCCAATATATAACATACAATCGTGTTTTTCTGTTTTGGTTTTTTTTTCAAGAAAGATCACACACACACACACATACAACAAAAAAAAGAAAGAACCCAAGAACTTGAAGAGAAATATAAACAATAGCAAAATTTTTCGTGTTGAATACACCGAACATTTATCAAGAAAGAAAAAAACATCCTATTATCTTTATCTATTCACAACATTGGGCGTATCCAACAGAAAAAAAGAAAATATAGAACAATGAAATACAATATTTCATGCTCAACAAAGAGATATTTTGTTTTTATATAAATACTAGTCAAAAAAAATTTGTTTTGAGTAATAAGAATGAATGTATAAGAAAAAAAAAACAAATAGACGGGGAAAATATGAGAAAAAAATTCACTCAAATCAGAATATTGTTGTCTTTTGCTTTTGATATCATAGAAAATTCACATCTAATGACTTATAATCCAATAATGTTCAACTTTAAAGAAGTTATATAAATTAAAGAAAAAGAATAATTTTTGACTAGGGTTTAACAATAGCTGGTTGTTGTGTAGACATTGGTGAAGTTGGAAATTGTGGAAAACCATGAGTAAGTGTTGCTAATAAGCTAAAACCAAACAAAGAAAAAAAATCATTAATGTTATTTTGTCGAAAAAGGCTTTCTTATAGACTTCAAAAATTTTTTTTTTTTGTCAGTCCATCAAGATCAAGAAGAAGACCACATTTGATACATATAATAAATTTAATTAAATATGATTCGTATTTCTATTCGTTTTATTCAACAAGAAAACTTTAATTTATTCGACAAAAAAAACGAACAAAATAAAATTGTTCTTTTCATATATAGTTTACATCAGATTTTCATTATAAATTTCATGATGAAGTTCGATTCCAAAAGAAAAAAGTAGAGAAGCTCTGATAGCTTTAGAGATCAAATCGAACTAAAAGAAAAGTCGTCTGGATTCAATTATAGAAATGAATTCTTAAGAAACGGCGAAACTTTAAAAACTCAATCAAGGTGCGAAATAATAATATAACATGCATATCATCAACTAAAGTTCATGAAACAAACTGAAGACAAATATTCAGATATCGGATAATAATAAATGACTGATCAAAAACAATCATCGAATTATATCTCATTACAACAAATGATTATGTTCGATAAGTTTCGATTAGATTTTTCGGTCACTTTTTATTATCGTTAAATGTCTGACTACTTATAACTATGATTGAATGGTAACAAAATTAGACATGAAAACTGTGTTTTACTTAGAACTGTTACTATTAATCAAGATAATATTGAAGTAGATAATCACATATCGAATAGTATGACTTATTATTCTATTTATTTCATATTTATATGAAATACAATTAAGTTTTTTTTATCATAATTCGAATTGGCAACTTACATTATCATAGATCCCTTTGTTTTGTTTCACATAAAGTGTGCCAAAAATTAACATGAATAACTTTTATGTAATTCGAAAGATTTCCATGATTCTTTTCAAAATAGTTTCATAACTTACTATTTAAATTATTACAGTCGTCTAACAAATAAACAAAGCCAAGTGAATGAATGGTATGTCTGATTAATGTCGGAAAAAAAAATGTCGAAAGGCAAAATGTCGAAAATCAAAAATGTCGAAAGACAAAATGTCGAAAACTAAAAATTTCGAAAGTAAAAATGTCGAAAAGTTTGAAGACGACAAGATTAAAATCTTGAGGGTGTGGGTGCGGTGTGTGTGTCTGTGTGTGAGGAAAAGGTCAACACAACCACTTCCACCCATCCAGACCCAGATCGACACCCACACCCTAATATTTATAAAACTAGATATCCTTGTGTACACTCTTGCCATTTCTTTGATCAATTAGTCTTATAATTAGAATTTATTAGCTTAACTTCCAATCATTATGCCCGTTCTTTTTTGTTCCAGAGAAAGCGATGATTAATTTATCTATCTCTATTCTATATTTCTATCTATATTCTATGGGAAAATACTAAGTCTACTAAGATTTTAATCTTGCCGTCTTCAAACTTTTCGACATTTTTCCATTCGACATTTTTAGTTTTCGACATTTTTACATTCGACATTTTTCCTTTTCGACATTTTTACTTTCGACATTTTGCTTTCGACATTTTTCCATTCGACATTTTACCTTTCGACATTTATCAGTACATTCGAATGAATGGCAGTCTGAAAATGGTCGAAACTCTGAAGCATCGCCGAATTCTTACATCCAAGTTCCTAATATTTTCTGAAAATTTTTCAGCTGGAATTAGTTCTCAAAATCATTGACTTGGATATTTCAGTTCCTCACAACTGTAACAGTCTCTAAGGACAACGAGTCAATGTATAAGAACGACTTTTGTGAAAATCCTATGATAGAAATTCGGACAATTTCTAAACATCGATTAAATGTTCAATTTAATTTACAAATTTTGTTTTTGTTAGTTTTGTAAACGACTAAGTATAGAATTCTAGTAGAACATAATCTTTCCCTTTAAAACTATTCAAGGTAAATTATATTAAAAAAACTCTACCAAGAAAACTTTCTAGATATTAATGAAGTTTAAAAAGACTTTATTACAAATATTAGTTAACAGAAACAACAAAGAGAATGTTTCTTTTCAAATGAAATCATTTTCATTTTTATCAAAGTATTTAGTAAATTAAATGTTAACGAACAATATAAATTAGACGACTGCGCGAACGTTTTTTTCTTATTTCTCAAACAGAATGGAAAAAAAACCGAGAATTTAATCATTTATTACCGTTTAACATCTGGTGAAATACTCATAAATTCTCTTGACCATAATTTCAAATTTGGATTTCGTACAAGTTCTAAAAATGTAACTAATAATCCCCATGGATGTGGACGATTTGCTACAAGTCGTTCAAGTAACACTCTAATAGAAAAAAGAAAATAACCAAATAAAACTTGTTTTTTTTTTTTTTTGTTAATCATTCCTACCGAACAATTTGTTCTTGTAAAGCTTCTGAATTAGCTTCAGCAAATAAATATAAAATCGTATAACTAAAATAATGTGTATGTGTATTTGGATATCTTAAATGATTAGCCATAGCATTTAAAAATAAATATCGTCCTTCTGTATCTAAATCTACAGCTAAATTTTGAAATATATCCATATGTGCTGTATGTGTTATTGATGACATTAATGGTTGTTTATTATTTATTGTTGATAAGGCTTGTGTAGCAACATATAAAACAAGTGCATTTAACATTCTTATATTATAATGTGAACCTGGATCAGCACCTTGTTGTAAATATGAACGTAATTCAGATAAAAATGTTACTGGTGAACGTGTACGTAAATATGAATCAAGATTTGTTTTAAATTTTGGTGGTTGAATATTTAATGAATAATTATATGATATTGTTGGTGTTGTTGATATATCATTAAGCATATCAATTTTAATATTAACTTTAACTGGATCTGGACAACGTATATGTTTTGGAAATGATGATAATATTATATTACGTAATTGATGTGATATTAATGGTAATGAATCACAAAATTCATAATAATGTTCACATAAAAATTCAGGAAAATCATGTAATAATAACATAAATGTTTTTAATATACCTTTATAATAAGCTTGAAATGATTGAGTATTTTCACCGGAACGTATAAATGGAGCAACAAGACGTAATGCATCAACAAGAAGTAATGAATACATATTTTGAATTTGACGAAAATATCGACCACCATATAATAAGAAACGAGACATTAATGTTCGATGAGCAATTATTTCAAGCCAAGCAAAAGCAAAACCGGTTACTCGTTGGGGACGTAAAAGATGTAAACAATTCGTAAATGCCAAATAAATGTAATACATTACTTGATCATTAGAAGAAGCATTTTCACCAACGGATGTTGGACTATAAATACGAGAGAAAGTTTCTTATGAACAATTTTCGATAAGTTGAAGAAGAATACTCCTACGTTTTGGCTGCTTTGCGATATCGAGTGCTGCCTAATGGTTAGAGCTCGTCGGGTTCAAAAATTTTCAAAATCCGAACCTGACAGAGTTCAGATCAGTCTGAGACAGAGCAATGATCCAATATAGATACGTGTTAAACTACGTAGCCATGACACCCTGATGACTTGAGAAAAACTCTTGTTATATTAAATTCGATATACAGGATTTCAATTCTCTACAGACTCTATGTACAAACTAATTCGATGTATACTGTAGACAGTGATATGTCTAGAAAACTTGTTCAGTGGAAACAGAGCTGGAACCGGTAAGAAATTTTGAAAACGGTCCGGTCCGGCCGGAAAACGGCCGTTTATAAGTTGTTCTTGAACCGGTGAATTTCCGGCAAACTGAATAGGTACTGATATGAATACAAGTAATGCTTCTGCGTTTTCGATGTAGATTGTTGAAAAAAGTTCGGCTTTGAACTATGATTTTCAACGTATATTTCAGAGAACTATAATTCTTGATGAANAGGTGCACAATGGTTACATCATTACCGACCTGAAAATTCTTTTCCATAAATATCATGCAATATCTTAAGATATTAGTATTAATAATCTTTTTATTTCACATTCATTAACATCACCATTTTTTGATATTGATCGTACAAGAATATCTTCCGATAAAGTTTATAAAGTCGAAGCACTTTCTAAACAACTATGTAATATAGTCGAGGAATCATCACTTTCAATAGATAAATCTTTGTTTGATGTTATTAAAAGTGAACATAATCACCAATATAAGGATATAATTTGTGAGAAAGGTATAATTAAGAGCATTTTCATCAAGTTTTGAATAGTTTTAATGCAAGTTTTGCAAAGACATAGTTGATCTTGAAAAGGGAGCTTGTTGAGTCGAATGATTTCTCACTACTCCTTAATGGATCATTTTAATCAATACATCGTGTCACTTGATAAGATTCTGTAATTTTCGCAGTATCAAATTTTGAAGATACTATTAAAGTGCTTTTAGTGTAAACGAGACAATTTTAGCGAGACTTTTTAAGAGTTATAAGTAACTATCGATGTTGCCTTTGTATGGGTCAGACATTTGAAAAAATTTTTTTCACATCCGGGTGTGGGTGTGCATGAACAGAAGACAACATTCACACGATTACACACGCAAATCCACACTCTTTCATCGATTTTTTACCAATTCTAGGACAGTGTTGACTATTCATCATCCTTTCAATCTGTCGAGTGATCGATTAATGTCCAAACTTATAAACACATGTCCTCATATAATCTATCTAGATGAATGTTTTCATTCAGTGTAAATTCAGGTTTCAGATTTTAATCTTTGTTCGTTTAAATATATGAAAGATATCCGACAAAATTTCGAACAACAAATCATCACATTCAAGCTTAACTGTTCGATAAAGCAATGTTTTGCCTTTTTCACAGTGAAAATCGCATTTTGTTATAACCTATTGGTTTTTAAGATGGCTACGAACGATACTTCTTTTTCCTGTTCCGCATTTTTTCTATGCATAAGAGTCAAAACAAGGGGAAAAAGTTAACTCAAAGTCATAGGAGTGTTGCTATTTTTTGCTCTTGAGTGAAAATTTCACGTTCATAGTGTATGATTTTATAAAGCAACAATGCAAGTCACCTCTATCCCTATGGCCTTCAATGATGATATTTATTCAACCGGAAAATATTTCGATCGGTCAGTATAAACCGTATTTAACATCTGAATAGAATTTGAAAAGTAAACTAATCTTATTGCCACAATCGTTGTCAATAATTTGGTTTTGACAATATTTAATTATCAATGTAACATGAAAATGTCAATTGGCAACTACCATTAGACGTAAATCATCTACTTTGTTGTGATTATGAATAAGGTTAAGGACGAATATAACGGCAAGGATGACTATATTTCAAAGTATAATTATCGGAAGTGATGTTCTTCGGTCAAAATTTCTCATTATGCTAGATATGGAAAACATTGATGGAGTGAAACCTACAAGTCGATATCTATTTCTCTGTTTGAAATATTTAAACGTTAATCAAGTAGCTTGAAGTCTGATATCAATATTAAAGTAAACGTTATACTAATTTTAACGATGATTACATCATCATGTAAAAATTTCTTTAATCTCAAAGTAAATAAACAATTTTCTTTTAACTTTCATTCTTTATGTTTTAATGTAGATTCAGCAATAGTCAAGAAAAATTGTATAAAGAATTAATATTTGAACAATAAGATTTAGATAATCATATTCCATTGAAATTATTAAATCTATTCAAAATAAAGTTCATCTTCGAATGATAAACATAAAATGTTAAAATTGGTTAATTGATATCTATATATCATAAGGAATGCCTTTACGCGATTTATCAACAAGTAATGATTTAAATAAAAAATCCTATGATTGTGTATGACAATTAGCCTCGCAACAAATTGAAGAAAAGTCTCCATTAGAACAACAGGAATATGAGAATAAATTAGGGTGTGGATCAGTGTACGCGTGGGATGATGTTGGTTATAATCTTGTTTCCATTTACACCCACACCCACACCCTTCCGACTGAGACTTTATGGAGCTATTGAATATTTAATTTGTCTGTTTGCCAGATGGATCCCTTCACAAGACTTCGATGTTTCGCAAAGTCGTGTGTTTTGAAACGCATCTTGAAACTATCCCCATTGGAGGATCCCATATGGAGTAGCTTGTATGAAGCTTTTTAGAGTTTGTAACATTCGTATCTTCAAGCTCTGAAATTTTCAAAAATACACACTTTTCGAAGAGTAGTAAATAATACAAAAGTATTTTTGAAAAGTTTATATCTCGAAGATACAAGGTTTGCAAATGTTTTCGAAAACCTCGGATCTTGCGCAGATATCCACTGACAAATGAATGTATTAAATATTCAATAGCTTCGTTCAGTCTCAATGGAAACTCAAATACTTTTAGAGTTTTCATTAAAATACGATCTAGTATGTATAGGCAAAAAGTTGATGTAGTGGAAATGGTCCATGATGTAAACGAATTTGTTTCGGTAATCCTTCTTCATTAATATTATTTTCCATTGGGAATTGTTGTCCTTCAACTCTACAGCGTTATCAAAATTTGAAATCACTTAACAAACGTTGATCAACTAATCATATTGTATGACTTTTTGTTATTCGTTGTAAAAGACAACAACATAATTCAATATTTGAATTAATTTTAAGCATAGAACTTAATGATTGAAATGTAGATCGTTTGAAATCTAATGATCGAAATTGTGGTTTAGAAGTAGTTGTTACTGTTGATGATGACTGAGTTAATTGAATAACAGAAGGTATAGATGAAACTTGAGAATTAGAATTTGATAATTGTTTTTCAATTTTATCAAAATAATCTTTATTAATTAATATATAATGAACTGAAAGTTCCTGAAAAAAAAGTCAAGTTTAGCAAAATTTTCTTTTGATTGATCTTTCTTAGTAAATATAGGATAAAGAGTTTTGTTAAAAAGCTTATCCGCGCAGCCCTGTTAGAGCTAAAAAGTAGACATTTTCGTATTCGATTTTTTTCAATTTAATATTATTGTTGTTCTAACCATTGATTTAAATGACAAATAAGTCTGTTGTACATATTTAGTGTATCTACAGTAGATTTCAAGATACTTATATATATGTATATCACGATAAAATTAGAAACACATTAATGCCGGCTTTTTCCCAAATTTATAACTTGATCATTTGACGACTATGGCAAATCAATACATGACTATCCATCATATTTGGCATCTTAAATGCGTCTGTTGTTCTTGGTTGCTATAAACAATGAGAGGAAACCACAAAAATTTGACTCAAAACTTACATTCACTATATTTTTCTTTGAAAAACAATGTGAGTTTTATTACATGTGTCCATTATATGATTATAGAATTGACTTCGGGTCCGAAAAGTATCAGAACAGTTAATTAGATCAATACAAGATACATGTTTCTTACATTTAGTTGAATTTCTAACTGTTTACAATGAACTTCAATGATTAAAGATTTAATATTCGAAATCCTAAAAAAGACTTATTTTATTTGATAGAGTTTGCACAAAGACTTTGTTAAACATTCCCAGATTTCTACTACCCGTTTCAAAATAGAAAGTGGGCGTGACGACAACTTGGATAATATGCGAACAATAGGAAATATTGCAAATTGGTTTCGGTCTAATTTTAACTAAGTTTGCGATATATCGATCTACGACAGACAAGTTTTATCCAGTCGGATTTCTAAAGAACTTTTAAGTGAGTCTTTAGAAAACTAGAGATTCAAGTAGTGAATTCAAGGTGTTAAAATATATATTCCCGTAGAGAAAATTTTTCAATTTCGAACTACTGAGACCTAAGTCAAAAACTAGACCTAGGGAGCAGTAATTGACCATGCTGAGTTGAAAACAATCTACTACTATGATATTCAGATTTTCAAAACATCAGTTGTTGATGTTATATAGTGAAAAAATACGAAAATTGGAAAATCTGGATATAATGATGGTAAATCGTTTTTGAATTAAAAAAAAATAACACTATAGATTTCAGCACATGATCAATCAGTACTTTATAGACCTATCTTTTCACTAATACAAGATCCATTGGCGGAAATCAAAGATCTTTGACAAGCCATTAGAACTTTTGAACAGTACAAGCTGCCATAGCTCAAAAGTGTACAATTTTCTCTATCGAATACATATTTAGATAGTATAAATTCAATGTGCCACGAACTTGGCTAAAAGTTGATTGAAGCGATTTTTCAATATCTGTTATCTTTTAGCAAATTATTCAAGTTGCAATAAAGTCTCGTCTATTTTGAAATGTGTCTATGTCGAGAACATCTCACAAAGTGTGCGATGCTTTGACTATTATGCTATTTGTCTTCCGCCGAGTAAACTTAATGCACTCAAACACTGCATGTTTCGTACAAATTATGGTAAGAATTTCATATTACAGTGTGTTTCATCTAAAATTGTATGAAAAAGAAACGCGCTTGATAGCTAAATATTGTACAATCAATTTTCATAATTGTTCATCATTATTTAATAAATCTTTTAATTCTTGTGTCTAATATATTACAAATGTAAAAATTAATTGTTTGTTTGCTTTGAAAAATAAAACTTTTTGATAAAGATTCGAAAATGATAAGTTATTAAATGTAAATGCAATTTTTATCATTAATATGTTCAAGTGGTTGTTTTATTCGAACAAGATTATATGTTGGATCATTGATTAATGTACGAATATTTGCATTTTGTATTAATGATGTTTAAAATAAGGAAAAGAAATGAAATATGAAAATTTGAGTTTTGTTTTCTTATTTTTTATAAACAAACATACGCCTTTTTGTGTAGTATTGTCTTTTCCAATATAATTAAATAGTTGTTGTCATCGATGGTATACCATTCATTGTTGAAAACATGTGAATGTGGATTGATTTGGAATTATAATCAAAATAATCATCTATGACAGATGGAAGTTTTGAATAAACTGATAAATTTCGTAAAGTATGTGTAGGTCGTATGGAGAAAGATCATCAAGTGTCACATATTGTTTTGAATTAGATATATATATCAGTTTGTAGACTATGATGCATATATCTTGAGATATTGTGACACATGATTGCTTTTTAGATCTGCAATATCTAAAGAAGAAAAAATTCTTTTGGATCGAAAGTTCTAATACAATATAATGGTCATGAGAAGTATCTGTAGATAAAAATCAAATGAAACAATCACAACTCAAGAATTGCAAGGCATGAGGATGAACCATTCTACTAGTTTCTTTTTTCAGTCTTATTGTAGATGAACTATCTATTCATTTAGAACGTTATTCTAAAAGAATTTGTGTTAATAAAGTTAGTTTCAAGGATTTTGATCATTATACTGATTATTCGATTGTGTACAAAATATTCACGAAAAACAAGTTAAACAACGAAATTCTCACCTACTAGTGTGTTGAAATTTTTGATAGAAGACTTTTTAATAGTAAGTTAAAATAAAGGTTTGTATTCATCATTATATCTTATATATGACATTTCTTAGAAAATAATCTTATTTAATAATCTACAAAAAATATCTCACCTTGTTTTAGATCGATTAAGTGTCGTCACAGAGAAAAATTCCAAAGATTATTTCAAACTGGGTTTGTAATCCTTTAAGTATAACTCGAGATGCTGCAATCGAAACTTGATTTTGAAATAAATCACGTTCCAAGAATACATCAATTAATTGTGCTGTTAAAATTAATTCTCTATCAGGACATTGAAGATAAAATTTATATTCATCAAATAAATTTCTTAATCTATTATGTAAATAAATATTTTATTGACTCTTACTCGTACTCTTGGAAAATATGAATCTTTACCTTTTTTCACTATTGATGAATCATTATTATTTGAACCCTAACAAAGACAATAACAAGAGAAAACAGAAAAATAAAAACTTTATTTTTCTTACTTTGATTAATTTTTATTTTCTATTTATTCTTTTCTTTTTCATCTTCTCGACTTTTCTGATACGGTTAAAATCTGTCATAAGACATCCAAAGATAACTCTTCACAAATTACAGTTGTCATAGCTGATGAGGAAAGTTTTGCAATCGATTATTCACTCTTGAGTTGAGGCCATGTGCTTCATGCGGACCTTAATAGACTACGAATGCACTGAAAAGGCGTCGAGTCCTTCGCTTATGGTCATTCTCAGAGACGTCACGAAAACTCATCTTCGAATTTCAACTTGAAACTTTTCACAGAGACTGAACTCATCGATAATAGTTTATTGTGAAATCTTCAAATATTTTTGGTGATTCTACACTGAGATATAGTTATGATAAAATTTTGCATTTTACACGACTCATATATAATCTCTACTCCATCCGATAACATTCTTTCTACATTGTGGCAACAATCCGTTGATTGCAAGTGTATATACGATAATTTGAAAGAAAATATATAGTTATGTCTTTGTAATTAAAAAACTTCAGTTGATAATGATAGTCCATTGGTTGATGATGGTATAAATGGACGTGTTGCTGTTGATATCGTTTGAATTTCTTGTATTAGATCTAGATTTGTTATTAATGGTAATGCTAATTGAAAGCCACACGTGTAAAAGTATATTGACTGTTTTCATATTATCGATTTTTTTTAATAATTTGTATCATCTTTTGAAGGTAATTGTAGTTAAAACAAAACACTTCTATAAAATAATATTTTTTTTTTCTTTCTTCTTACTGGATATTCATCTAATTTATCTAATAATCATTTATCTAACTTTTAATAACCACGTCTTGATGCTAAACAAACTAAATCAAGAATAAATGTTATCGATTCTGCTGCACGTAATACGGATAAAGCTATTAAATCTTGTACGATTTCAAGAATATGAGCCAGACGTTGTTGTTGTTGCATGATGCTCTTAAAAAAAGATTAAGAGAATCTTTATTTTTATTTTTTGTTCTTATCCTACTTGTGAATTCCATATGTAATTAAGAAATGGATTTGTATTAGGACTATTGACAAGAGATCTAGGAATTATTAATTGTAATAATTTTTGTTTCAATGTTATCCAAAAAGTAAAGTTTTTTTAACAGGATAGATGCATTCGGCAGTCTAAGCAATTAGAAAAAAATATTTAAAAAAATGATTATATATAGTGGAAATGAATAAATGCTTTGACAAATTATCATGTCCTTTCTTTGAGAAGAAGAGGGAATCTCTGTAGAGGTGAACAGTTGCGATTTGAGTCCCGATGAGTTATGATTGATTTCGTGAAATTCTAGTCTTCGGTATTTTGATTGTAACGTTGATTATCAAAATAAAAAATACATTCACATAACGAACTGCTTGAGCAAGTCGTAATAACTATCAAAAAAAATCAACAAATATGATATATTTATTTTTGTTTTTAATTTTCGAATTTGTCTTTCAAATTATAACAAAGTCAATAAAATAAATCAATATATCGTTCAGTTGATTATGCTCGGCGAAGTGCTATTNCCATTATTTGAAATAGAATAAATTTCGATCATTCATGGAATATGTATAAGAAAGAAAAGTCAATCAGATATTTTGGATTAGAAGACACACTCCATATAAATGAAAACATAAGAAAACAAAACTAAACCTATATGAAGACTTTTTGTTATAGACATTCGTTTTTGCCTCTAGTAGATGTTTGCTATAAATCAGAAAAATCAAAATTAAAATAAATACAATAGAAAAGAGTACGAAGTCTGATATTTACAACTAGTATGTTTTTTTTATTCAGTATCTTATTTTTGGAAAAATCTTTGATGATTCTTATCATTTTCTAGTAAGAGGATGTCAAACTACGTTGACTAAGGGTGTGGGCGTGGGTGTGTGTGGGTGTGGGTGTGTGGGGTGTGGGTGTGGGTGTGGGTGAGTGTGAGTGAATTCAACAATTGTACCCACATCTACCACCACACCCACACCCACACCCATCCACACGGCGATACTAACTATTGGAAAAGATTCAGTTTCATAATGATGCATATTATTGCTCTTATGATCTTTATGTTTGTCAGCGCTGACAATACAACGACCTATGTCTACTCTGGTTATCTGCCGATATCAAATGCGTGGCAAGCCGATTTCATATATATCATGCGGATGTTGCATATTTATTGATGATTGGCCCTTAGAACAATAAATTCAAATGTTCAGCAAAAGACCATGAGAACTGGAGTTAGACTTAAATAGTGGCAGACACAGCAAAAGTTCTGTTTGTGACAAAAAGTTCCGCATCTCCACTAAAACCTGTATTGGTTCCTCGTGGCATCTCTTTGTTTTCGACAGTTATTGCACTTTTTGGATATTGCCGCATTAAATCCAACTCAAATGCCAGAATTCTTATTAAGATCTAAACATATGATCTCAGATCAAATTTAACCTTAATTTAAAGAATGTTTTTTCTCTAAATAGTAATCGAATATTAACTCATCATTTTCGAAAATTGATCCAGATATTTTCAGGGTTGGTAGAGTTTTTAATTCTACGAATTTTGATGAAAAAAAATCAAAAAGTGTTTATTTTATATGAAAATATACCCCAACACTCCCAGTAACAAAGTTAAAAAATCTGTAAAAGAACATTTTTTGCCCAATTGTTTTTCGATTGTTTTCGGTAGTCTTGTGCATTAAAACAAGATTCAATGTCATTTTCAGATTTCTCGAAAAGAAATGCATCTGATCATATTAAATTTAGATAGAGTTAGGAAAAACTGAGTCTCAAATATAGTTTGATTGATCACTGACTACACAAAAATACAGTACTATTTTGTATTTACGATTATTCCAAAAAGCTTCTGGCAGTACAGAAGTACCAGCGTTTTTTATACTTGTTGAAATACTGAGTCAACTTTGTCAAATAATGTTTTCTCCACTTCTCTAATGGAAGATTTTGTCACAAAGCCGTTGGAGAAAAGCGTTCATCTTCATATTTAGTTATATCAAATGAAAGGTTCAGTTGAGTCATAATCAAATAAATATTAGATCATTTGAATGTGAATGTGACGTAAAACCACTCACATCCACTCGGAAAATATTTGAAAATTATCTGAAATGTCTCGGATAGAAAATATAAAATATATTGTTCTCAAGTATAATATCTGAAGTAAACTCTAGATATAATCTTACACTGGAATGTCTAGAAAAGCGTCAATGATTATCATTCGTAAATCTTTGATGGTACTAAAATAGATAAAAATTGATCGTTTTCTTTTCCTTGAATTCCATAAAATAATCCTCATGCTTCACTTTTCTATTCTCTTTGTATTTCAAGACGAGATTCTTTATTCCAATTTAATTTGTAATAACTTGTTTTTCTTCGATTTTTCTAAAAGACTTCTTATGTGAATTATGATATTAATTGAGGTAATATTGGTCTTTGCTGTTGATTATCAAAGTTCTTAAATGAATTGATAAATTTCATTGCTATGATTTTTTCAAAGCAGATTTCATAGGAGAAATAGATAGTACACTTAAAAAGAATGAATCATTTAGAAAGTTCTAATGAAATGAAAACAAAAAGTTCATGTTAACATTATTTTGTTGTTGTCTTAGTCATAATTAGCAAAATAGACTTACTCATCTACGAAAATTGACCGAAAAATTAGGGCAACAAGGACTGATTTGTAAAGCATTGCAATATATGTACTCATATGAGTGTTACAAACCCAAAGCCTTAGAATTTAGTATTACGTAGTTGGTTTAGATTTGGTCTCAAATCATACAAATCTCAAAGTCCTTGGTACTAAATCTGTTTCATATTTGTTGCACCCCTAAATACTCAATTAATTTCTATATACTTGCCTGAAGAACGGCAACAATAATGAATCCATCAAGTCAATCGTTACGACGGCAGATTTAAGAACAATTAAACAATACTGACTTGAAATAGTCAATAATTAATCAATTCAATCGTGTTACAATCAATATAATTAGCCCAGATTGTTACTATAAAATGATAAGACAAGCAAAGATTGATCAGTTCTCGATAGGTCTAATTCTTAGAGATTTCGTGAAAGACTTTTACATTGAAATTAGTTATCTCTTCTTCCGACAAAATTTCTCATTATGCTAGATATGGTAAACATTCATGGGACGAAACCTACAAGTCGATATCTATTTCTCTGCTTGAAATATTTAAAAGTTAATCAAGTAGCTTGAAATCTAATATCAATATTAAAGTAAACGTTACACTAACTTTAAAGATGATTACATCACCATTTTAAAATTTTTTTAATCACAAAGTAAAGAAATAATTTTCTTTTAACTTTCGTTCTTTATGTTTTAATATACATTCAGCGATGATCAAGAAAAATTGTATAAAGAATTAATATATGAACAATAAGATTTAGATAATCATATTCCATTGAAATTATTAAATTTATTCAAAACAAAGTTCATCTTTGAATGTTAAACATAAAATGTTAAAATCGGTTAATTGATATTTATATATATCATAAGAAATGCCTTTACGCGATTTATCAACAATCAATGATTTAAATGAAAAATCCTATGATTGTGTATGGCAATTCGTCTGAAAACAAATTGAAGAAAAGTCTTCAACAGAACAACAAGAATATGAGGATAAACTAGGATGTGCGTCGGTTATAGTATTGTTTCCATTTACATCCACACCTCCATAGATATATCTTGCCGATATCAATAATTTTAGTTCCTATTGAGACTTTATGGAGCTATTGAATATTTAATATGTCTATTTGTTAGATGGGTCCCTTCACAAGACGTCGACGTTTCGCAAAGTAGTGTTTTTGAAATACGTCTTGAAACTATCTCCATTTGAGGATCCCATATAGATTAACTTGTGCGAAGCTTTTTAGAGTTTGTAACATTCGTATCTTCAAGCTCTAAAATTTTCAAAAATATATACTCTTCGAAGCGTAGTAAACTATACAAAAGTATTTTTGAAAAGTTAATATTTCGAACATACAAAATTGGCAAATGCTTTCGAAAACCTCTGGTCTTGCACAGAGATCTGCAGACGAATAGATGTATTAAATATTCAATAGCTTCGTTCAGTCTCAATAAAAACTCAAATACTTTTAGGGTTTTCTTTAAAATACTATCTAGTATGTATAGGTAAAAAGTTGATGTAGTGAAAATGGTCCATGATATAAATGAATTTGTTTTTCCGGTAATCTTTCTTCATTAATATTATTTTCCATTGGGAATTGTCTTCCTTCTACTCTACAGCGTTATCAGAATTTAAAAATCACTTAATAAACGTTGATAAACTAATTATATTGTATGGCATATTGTTATTCGTTGTAAAAGATAATAGTTACAATTTCATTTGCAGCTTGGAACACGCAGATGATATCTAAAAAGTACGATATTTGAATTAATTTGAAGCATAGAACTTAGTGATTGAAATATAGATAGTTTGAAATCTGATAATGAAAATTATGGCTCAGAAATAGTTGTTACTGTTGATAATGATGGTTGAAATAATTGAATAACAGGAGATATAGATGAAACTTGAGAATCAGAATTTGGTAATTATTTTTTTTGATTTTATCAAAATAATCTTTATTCACTAATATATGATGAACTGTATAGAAGTTCCTGAAAAAAAATCAACTTTACCAAAATTTTCTTTTGATTGATCTTTCTTAATAAATATAGAATAGAGAGTTTTGTTAAAAAGTTTATCAGCGCAGCCCTGTCAGAGCTAAAAAGTAGACATTTCCGTATTCCGTTTTTTCTCAATGTAATATTATTATTGTTCTAACCATCGCTTTAACTGACAAATAAGCCTGTTGTATATATCCAGTATATCTACAATAGATTTATGTTGGTTTTTCTCCAAAGTTATAATTTGATCATTTGAAGACTATGGCAAATCCATACATGGCTATCCATGAT